TGTGCCTATAGGTTAATCCGGCCCTGATCCCATGGTATGATTTTTTTCGATTTTCAACGCTGCTGTTCAAACTTATATTCGAAAAACCACTTTGTCTTTAATTTTCACAGACCTGTGCAGAACATGAAAATACATGTCATATTTTAAAAAGTGTGTTAAAAGTTTAGTTTACTTTCACAAAACAATATAATTATCCTTTGTTAATGTTTTTATTTGAAAATATAATAAATTATTTAACAATGTTCGTGTGTTTAATTGTTATTTATTAATAAACAGAAACGCTTGTAGTAATCAGAAGCCATTTTAAAAAAAAAACTATTTGTTCGGCACCGATTTGATTTTGCCTTCTGAAAAAAATATCGAAAAAAGTTTTTCTTTTAGATAAGAAAAAAAACATGTTCCTTTTTTATAATAGATATTGCTTTTAATAGCCTTTTTATAATAATCAGTTATTGTAAATAAGCTTCTTAGTACTACTTTTAATGACTGAATACTTTAATTCAATTAAAATTAATTTGCTATAATTTTTAAATGAATAAACAAAATATGTTATTAAAAATTTAAACGCGTAATGTAAATCAGTTTTATTTTAATTAATTTTTTTATTTATCCCTTGAAGTTTTTTAATGATGACATGATTTGCAAGAGTTTATACGCAATACTTTTATATTTAAACATATATGTAATAGATTTATATTCAGGATTCTTTTTCTATACTTCCTATGTATTTATTTTCAACGTACTGCATTACAATGTTAACCCATTAATACAGGAGAGTAAACAAGTACAAACCGGTTTCAGTCGCGTAAAAGCAATAGAACTGTATAGTGTCACCTGATAATTAAGATTTTACAAAGAATCTTATAGTGCGTCTAATAATAATACCAGGAATTGTAAATTAGCAACACTATAGTGCCGTGAAATTGAAAAACCAACGAAATAGACAAAAATTCGAAATTGAGATTTTTATGTATCCTTGTATGAGTAGCTACATATTGCAAAAATAGTTTTTTATTTCAAAAATCAATTTTTTTTGCAGTTTTTTGAGATTCCCCGACTCAATCTTTAATTTATCAGAAAATGTCGTAACTCCACAATACAATTGAGAAAAAACAACGTGACGTAATTACCTATTCAATGTGACCTTTTCCAGATGGAGAAAAAGGGACTGAAGATGATTTCTGTTTTGCAATTAATTGACAGGTGAAAAAGAACAACCTGGCGACCCTTGTACTTACTGTCTTATTTTTTTTCTCCATCCATTACATCATTTCTACAGCATCTTGCGCTAATCACACTAAGAAGTTATTACTAATAATTGCCAAAGAAATTTGGTAATGAATTCGCCATAATTAATTGAAACTTCAACTCAAACGCAAGTTTTATATGCGCTACGAGATAATAAATCTGCATTGTAGAAAGGATTAAAAGTATGTCATTTCAATAAACAGGCAATAAAAAAATGTTTCAAAGAAGTAAATTTAATTTCTAAAATTTTAAAAATAGTATTTTTATTAAACAAAAGGCATAAACAATTTTTACTTCAAAATACTCTGCGTTGCTTTCAAAATAATCCCCTGACAACAGCACAGCACAAAGACTCCCAGCAAAACGTACCTCGTTGCTAAAAGTGATGTTCCTTTATTATATTAAGTACGCATGATGTTACCTTATTATATAATAATGTTATTACCTTAGAATGAATTATTTTGTAATAAAAATATTTACTTAATATTTTTACAATTACTAAGTGTAAAATATGTCATACTTCTCCTTTTAAAAAATCAATGTCAAGTGAAACATATGCAACATATCCCAGATAGCAAAATTAGGTTTATTTCACTGAGCAAAAACCCTTTAATGTAAACCTGAATTTAAAGTGTTTAAAGAGGTTTTATTCGCGGTTTACGTGTAAACCTTCTAAACGAGATCTGTGATAATTTGTTCTCTTTTATGCACATTACCCTAATTCAAAACCTTGGAAAACAATCTTTTATATGAAAACCTTAAATCTAGGTTGAGTTAGGGTTTTCAAGCATGAAAAAAAATCCCTTAATAAAGCTAGTCTCAATGTGAAGCTAATTTTAAATCTAGCAGGTGAATGTAGCAGATTTATGCAGGTGAATGATAAAAAATAAATAAATTAGTGTACTTGGAAAGGTGAAAAAGTAAAATAATCAGATCATGTAAAATAATAAAAACTCACTAAAATTATGAAATTTCAAAACGGTGTGCGTGTTTATCCCTAAATCTATATATAAAATTCAATCAGTGTTTCAAAGAGAAGACTGGGAGAACATAGTTTAATAAAAAATACAGTGAAATACAAAATTCAATACAATATTTATATACAAAATCACACGTTGTAACAAATAATAATAAAAAAAACTATTTATATTAAATAAAAGTTGATAGAAACACAACTGAAAGCACTAAGTTTTAGATTTATAAACATTTATATGCAAACATGAAGAGATTAAGAAGTAGTTGTTAAAATAAATTGGAAAATAAGTTTTAGAATGTATAGAAACACCCGGAAGCATTAATACTCCGTTTCAAGCCATAAGACTCAAACAAAAACTTAAACGTTGCAGCGGCCAAGTCCAACTTTTGAAATTTTGAAGAAAAAAAAATTTTATTTTCATATTTTTGATCTAAACTCCTCTCGAAAATCCTCTCAAATTCATAAAATATTTTATTAATAGAAAAATGTGTGTAACCATTCACTAATGTTTTATTAAACTGGAAATGTAATGTTAGAGAATTGCAGAAGAATCCTTGTTTCATAATCGGTAACAAAGATTAGGCGAATAGGGTTTATTTCTGCTTCAAAAACTACCAATGAGTTAATTAAAAAAATCAATTGAACACAACGGAAGGAGACAGAAATGGGCAGTTTTAAGCGTTTTGTTTAGAAGAAATACTTTCTTTATTTTTACAAATGTTCCAAATTAGTTACAAGCTTTGTCATAAGAATACGCTTTAATTTAGAAATATAATAAAGCATTATCTGATACGTGTCAGACCTTTATAACTGATTTATTTACTTAGAAGTCTATTATTTTTATTCTTTACACCAAGTTGTAGATGTAAATGGTAAAAATGTATAATTTTTTCCAGTAACTACATCTGTTGACAAATTTCGTAACTAATTTGGAAACTTGGCGATGCTAAATATTCTGGTTTTCTAAAGAGAACACGCCTTCTTTCTGTTTTTATCCCTTCCGTTTTTCTTTAATTTATTTTTCACCTTCCTATTTTCTTTAATTCACATTATCTCTTTCATTTTTCTTTAACTGATTTTTCCCCTTCCGATTTTCTTTAATTCACATTATCTCTTTCATTTTTCTTTAACTGTTTTTTTACCTTCCGATTTTCTTTAATTCACATTTTCTCTTTCATTTTTCTTTCATTGATTCCTCCGTTTTAGGATGCCCAATACATTCTAGACTATTTTTTAACGAAATATTCTAAAAAATTATTCTTTAAATATAGTAGTCACCCTTAAATATCTTAATTTGCTCTAAAATTTATGAAAAAATATTTTATGCATCAAATGAATCATAATTATGACCCATAAAAACTAAATTCTTAAATTTTTTTTTCCAAAAGCTTTGTACAGCTATGTAACATTTAATTTAAAAAATTATTATCAATATATTGGGGAATTATTATCAATGTTAATATCATGAAGGTGTTATTAAATGAGGAAAAAAATGGCAATTGTTTTAAATGCCTCTTGGTAACAACTGATAATTATATGATGTCATCTAAACGCTTTCTGAATATCTTCCTTAATATTCCATAGATTTGAGTAAAGAAACTACTGAAAGTACCAATGCTTCTTGTTTCAGAGATAAGTCCAGTTATTTAGATAATCTGTTGAATGTTATTGATCATGTTGTATAAACTAATCTTTCTCCTGAAAGTATCAATACAACTTGTTTCATAAGAGACCAGTTATTTAGAATAAACAAAATGGCAAAACGAATCACACGTATGACAGAGATATATACAAATCACATTAGTTGCTATAGAAAGTAGAATGTTCGTAGTTTCGATGCGATTCGAATTCCAGAGATTATCAGAAGCTCCTCATCATGTGAGGGTTTAGGGGCAACATAGTGATAAGCCACACTTCTTTCTGAATTGTTGTTTATACTTTTTAAGTTTCTTGAATTTCGTCTTGATGGCAGCACAAACACATGTTGTTGCCCACTAAATGTTTTTCACCAAAAAAGCCTGAAGATTTTGATAAATGTGTCTCATATTTTATGAGAAAGCCTCTGAAGCTGGACAAACCCATCCGCCGAAATATTTTTCAATTTCTTCAGCAACCGCAATAGTGAGATGATCGTTATAAAGTCCGCTCACAATCTGCAATCCAACAGGAATGCCATCCCTGCTCAAAGTGACAGGACACTGAGTGACGGGCAAACCCAATAAATTAAAAACGCACGTGTACGAAACGTTGAATGGTTTAAGCACCGGCTGTCCGTGAAATGGCGCCAAGTCGGATCCCGTTGGGTATATGAAGATGCCATCCTCGCCAAGAAAATTCTCAAAATGCTGTTCCATGTTCTGCATCATCTCGTAATATTTGGATGCCTTTTTTTCGTCTTTAGGTACCCATATCTTGTTGACAGCAGCGGATAACAGAGCGGGAAAGATGTGGTCTGAGACTCCAATCAGCCATTTGAAGACTTCCACAAAGAGGTCTGCATGTCCTCTCCTGTTGGTCATTTCGTAGGTGATCGGTTTGAATCCAGAGGTAGTGATGACCTTTGACCACATTACGAAGCTGTGGTGCATGTTTGGTATTTGAACTTTAGTGGGTGCTATTCCGTAGGTATCCCTGAAGTACTCCATAACCTGAAATGAAGGCAGAACATTAATAGTGTAATATAAAATTCATAATTGTAGGACGCATTATTAGGAACTGTGCGAACCAGTGCTAACCACTTTCTAAGCTTTGGGGGAAAATTCCTTCTTGAGGTAGCTAAGTTTATGCTCTAATGTATGATTCTTTGTTTTGTAAATTTAATTTTGAGTTATTTTTCCCATCACTGTATGTAAATGATTCAAAATTTCATGCGCTACGCCACATTTGTTTCAGCTTTCCAATGGCGAACTGTTTGCAAAAGTTTTCCCAGAAAACATGTAAACCTTACGACAACCTTGTGTCGGAATTTTCCTTTAATTGTCACGAAAATGTTTGCACTGAAAACCTTTTTTTCAATAAAGCATAAATATTGCAGTTTTAAACCTTTCATCTTAAAAGGATTAAAAATTATTTTTTTAAAGCTTTTTTAAAACGTATTGTTAGGTCCATCATGACATTTTAGCTGCTGACGTCATACTAGCGATAGGATCAAATTGCATTTGTGGCGTAACTACCACTATAAATATTAAATACCAATTCACTAGTATATAAGACATGTTAACTTGATTCTATCACGAGGTACCTTTTGATAGATGAAAGTTGACTTAGTCGATAATTAAATCCCCACCATTAAAATTACAAGACAAGGTGGATTTTCGCTAAGTAAACAAGCCTAACGAAAAGAAACCTTATAATTACCTAGATTGAAGATTGTTTTCACCTTGAGACTAGCATTATTAAAGGGTTTTTTCACGCTTGAAAACCCAAAGTCAACCTCGATTTAACGTTTCTATATAGAAGGTTGCTTTCCAAGGTTTTGGATGAAGATAATGTTTGTAGAATAGAGCAGATTGTCATAGATCTCGTTTTAAGGTTAGAAGGTTTAAGCGTAAACCACGTAACAAACCTTTTTTTGGTTTACATTAAAAGGTTTTTGCTGAGTTGAAATAAACCATATTTTGCTATTTGGGTATCGACAATGTCTACCTTCATCTACCCTTTTATAGAATCGAGTTAACATGTCTTATATACTAGTGAATTGAAATTACATTTTTGTAGTGGTAGATACACTACAATGATTCCAATGATCATTTCTGAAACTTTCATCCACGAACAGCGACGAAACTTAACGAAATTTAATGATTTGGTGGGCAGACTTGGTTGCCAAATCGTTGTATCGATAAAACTGCTATTACCTAAGCTTACAGTTTCGATCATTAGGGTATTTACTGGGTACTTATGTGGTTATTAAAGTATTCCTATAGTATACAGAGTACTTCATAATTATCCTCTTAAATGCATATTTTTATAATTCCAAAAACAATTATGCAGGCTGTCCGTCTTAAATTAATATATTGAGGAGGAAAAAAAATGTCTCAAAATCTAATCAATGACAATCCAGGTTATTAAAAGAAAATAAGAGATTAAAAATGACCTAAAAATAGTTTCACTTAAAATAAAACTCTGATTTCTGGCGAATGCATTCTTGTCACATCAGCAATCGTTTTTCATGTTAATAAGAGCAAATGAATGCTTAAATTCACTTCAAATTAGTTTAACTTAAAATTTAAAAAAAAATCTGATTTCTAGCGAGAAGTGAATGCAATCTAAAAGTTTTAGATGATAAAAGTTCATCACGAAAGAGATTTTCCTCCCAAGGTTTATGTTTTGTGGGACAAAAAAATAATTACTTCGTCAGTGGACATTCTGGACACAGCTCAAAATACATTCTTTAAGAAAATGGACACAGCACTAAATGCATGTTTGAAAAATGAACACAGCTCAAGACGCGTGTTTAAGAAATCGGTCACAGGTCTGAATGCGTGTTTAAAAAATTTAAGACAACCCTGAATGCGTGTTTAAAAAAATTGAGACAGCCCTGGGGTCGGTGTTATTGGATACAGACACTTTTCAATGATATCTTCGTATTCAGTACACAGAACGATAAATCTAAATTTTGACTCCATCGAATTAATTCCACCATTATAAATTCAATAAGACCCTTAGAAACCTTGTAAAAAGAACTGCTAACATTTAATATCTTTCCACAAAAAAAAAACTAGTTGAAAGTAAAAATATTCTAAGTGATTAAAAAAAATGGGCATCAAATTATGGATTTATTTGAAAAATAAAGAACAATTTTCACAAGAGTAATTTGAAAAACCGAATCAAATGCTATGTCCATTTTCTGAAACACGCATTTTGAATTTGACATCTTTTAAACACGCATTTTGAGCTGTTTCAGAAATAAAAAGTTCTCAATTGATTTACTTTTTTTATTCCACCTGAAAAAACATCTTAAAACTTTTTTTTTAGAATTCTTGCATTAGGTTTAAACAGGATTATATCAATTATTACCCAATAAAAAGCGTAAAGCAGAAAAAAACGTTACTAAGTTCTTAATTTAAAATTATTTTCGTGCATAGAATTTTACATTCGTTTTCGTCTTTGTTTTGTGTTTGATTCTTTCGAAAGAAATTCATAAATCATTCAATAAAATTATTTTAAATCTTTTACTTTTTCGTCTAGACACGAAAAAAGTAAAAATGTAAGGAATTTTTCTACTCATACGACACAACAGCTTATCTTTTACTTTGTTTTTCTCTGTTTTTAGGTCTACTTTGTTTCATAAAATAGATACTAGTTAGACAGTAAATTATTCTTACATTATTATCATTATCACGTTATTAGTATTTCTTAAAACTAATAAACGATGAGCGAAAGAAAAGAACCCTTAAATAATCTTTGATAGACTAACCGAATTCTCTCGTTCTATGAGGCAATTTCAACACGTTGAAAGCATAACCTTGAACATTTATTGTTAAAATGAGTTTAAATTATTTTTATTGTGCGAATTTATTTTTAGGAACTATAAAATTACCTTCTTTTGAGCACTTGATATTAAAAATATTTTCCGTTTAATTTCTTCTGACCATTTATTATTAAAAAAGTTTTAATTTATCTTCTTTTGAACACTTGATATAAAAAATATTTTCAGTTTAATTTCTTCCGAGCACTAATTATTAAAAAAAGTTTTAAATTACCTTCTTTTGAACACTTCAGATTAAAAAATTTTCAGTTTAATTTCTTCTGAGCATTTATTATTAAAAAGTTTTTAAATTACCTTCTTTTGAACACTTGATATTAAAAATATTTTCATTTTAGTTTCTTCTGAGCATTTATTATTAAAAAGTTTTTAAATTACCTTCTTTTGAGCACTTGATATTAAAAATATTTTCAGTTTAATTTCTTCTCATCACTTATTATTAAAAACGTTTTAAATTACCTTCTTTTGAGCATTTATTATTTCAGGATTTACAGCAGAGACTAAAGGATTTCCTCCTTCATTTTCCATGTAATAGATTTTCATTTCTCGAAAATTAACCTACGAAACAAAAAGAAAATATGAAATTAGCAATCAAAGCGAAAAACATACAGAACACACTTTTTTGAGATTTAGTATTTGTTCTTATTTATATTTTAAAAAAACTGGCAAAGAAATTTAACTGATTTAGAGAAACTTAAAAGAATTTGACTCCTGCTATCTTTTTCATATTTAAGCATTTATTCACCTGATTTGCACCAGATTTCAGTAAACAAAATCCCAAGTCGTTTGAATGTAAATCACACGTGATTATTGTCCAGAACAGTAATTTTTTATTCTATTTTCTGCTATCTATTACTAACATATACATAAATAATAAGTTTAAAGAAATATAGAGAAAACATGTAAAATAATAAAGATTAATGTAAAGAGGAGAAGAAAAATTATTAAAGTAAAAGTTTTCAAAAATAATAAAAAAAAATTATTCAGAAAAAATAATAAAAAGAAAGAAAACAAAATAATGAAAATATATATTCTCTACATCAGCTCACACGATTATATCCGCAAAAAGAAGTGTTTTCTAATATTGAATCAATATAGCCAAAGCAAAATATATCAATACAGTGTGAGAAGCACTCAAAAAAATTAAAACGAAAATAGAACAAATTAAGTAAAAAATATTTACGAAATAAAATATATCAAGCAATAAATAGAAAGTAAATTATATATAATATTTACCCCGAGAAATTTATTTGCTTCGTAATCATGATTATAATATCAATTTTAATTTTTGGGATTTAGCCCTTAAAAAGGAAGAAAATATCTGCTTTGTTGATTAATGTGATGAAAGAAATTATTTTCATTTTAATGCAAATAAACTCATTTCTTGGAATTCTAATCATTGCAAACATTTATTGAAATACCATTTTTAATCAAATGTATAGAATTAAAAGAATAAGTAGAAATGTTTATTTATCCAAAAAACAAATTGACAAACTCTTTCAAAATTTGATTAAAAGACAATGGATACCCAATTAATGTAATTAAGTTCTAAAATCATTGAGTTCATTGTATGCTATTATTAATAAATTTACTAAATTCTTCTTTGTTAATTTATATAATATTTATTATGTGTAAATCCAATTCGGGGAAATCCGTGGATAGGAGTCTGTGCAAAACAGGCAAATCATATTTATCTTTTTAAGTAAATGTTAATTTTCTAAATTCATTAAAATTGCATCCATCAATCAATTGTTTCAATCAATCTTATTATTTTTTTTATTTCGTCACCTTCGTTGAACATCGGACCCTATTTAGGGTTTGCGACTACTTATTTCCATCAAAATAAAATGTGTTATGGTATAAACTCAAGAACTAAACATTGAAACTAAAAAAGGCAACAATCGAAAGTTCAAATGCACATTTAAACAATAATTTAAAAAAAAAAAGATTAGCTATTAGATTTCATAGTCTGATAACGGGGCACGTACAAAAATGTAAAGAAAAAATTAGCGTCATTCAACTCGAATAATAATAAGGACAATTTTGACATTTATGAAAGCTTTATGTCTTCAATTTGAACGAATTGGTTTTCTTTTTTCACCAAGCTTTAAAAAAGTTATGTAATAGCATAATTTTTTACTTAATTTTTTGAACCTATTACAAAAATACTAGATGAATATTTTTTCCTTTTTTTTATAACCGTCATTGAACAGCCGTCCTAATTTTGAGTTTACGGCTACTAAGGCTCAACTTCGTAGCCTTCTCATTTTGAACCGAACCCAGAAGACAAAGGGACTTCTGGATCAAGTATTAGGAGAAATTTGTCTTCGTGGGGAACTTATTTGATGAAACGAACCCTTATTTACGTTACATGGTGAGGAAGACCACGTTAACATGACGGTAAGGGGACTTGAACCCATGATCCGTCTTCCACCGCGGATATTTCACGTTAGCACTGTGATGGGTGCAAATCGGATATGTAATTCGTATCGATCATCCATCGCCGGGATTCGAACCCGGCTCACCTCGTTGGAAGGCGAACGCTCTATAAAACTTTATGATTATATTACCGTCGTTGAACAATCTACCCAATTTAGGGTTTGCGGCTACTAATGTTCAACTCCGTAGCCTTGTTATTTTGAATCCAATCCAGAAGACAAGGGAAGTCCTGGATCAAGTATTAAGACAAAGAAACTTTCGTAGAAGACATTTTTTAACATTTTGACACTTTCGAACTAACTCACATTTGAGTTACATGGAGAGGAAAGCTTTGAAAACACGCCTATGAGTAACCCGATGGCAAGAAGATTATAACCCCCTTATCCGTCTACCACCATTTTTTACTTCGGCCTGGTGAGTTCGTATCCACCAACTATCTCTGACATTGAATCTAGGTAACCTTATTGGGAGATGAGAACTCTATTCCTCTCTCTTCCACTAATAATTTTCACACAATTATTTTTTTAATATTCAATCATAAGTTATATAGATATATTTCTTTTCATTTTTTTTAAGATTTAGATTTAGTTTAGAAGACAAATATCACTTAGATATAATTGTTTAAACCAGTGTTTCCCAAAGTGTGGTACGCGTACCCCAGCGCAGTGAGGGTACGCGTTCTTAAGTGAAATATCTTGCAACAAACGAAAATTTCAAATTTTTTTATTTAAAAACAGAACTAGCCATGGAAATTTACGATTACGTATTTTTCTATTTTTGCTGAGTTAACAGTTAATAATTAGTGGTGTCAACAGCCAGTTGTGATTTTTAACTTTCGTGCAATTTTTTTATAGTAAATCTTTACAATAAATTCTATTTATTTTGATTATTTTTATAAAATATAATATTTATCCTGTTATCACAGCAAAAACAATATCATCCTTCTCAATGATGCAAATAAACTCATTAACACAACCTTGAACCAAGAAATAAAAATAAACAGAGTTTTAAAAAAATAGATTCATTTCTTTATTAGTGGTACACAGCCTTACGAAAAATTTAGAAAGGGTACTCAAAAGTCATAAGTTTGGGAAATACTGATTTAAACAAGCAAAGTCTTTTTTATTTTTTATTAGAAACTAATGAAACGAAAGTAATTAGTAAAATTATCGTTTAAACGTAATCGTTAATCGTAATCGTTTAAACCTATCGTTTGAATTTTTTCACGTAATCTCTTTATCTCTTTTATTTATGTAATTGTTTTGTTCTCTTCTGCTGTCATATTTTGTTGATACTCAAAATTAATTGTAAGGCTGACCACAAAAGGTCATTTAATGTTCAGTTCAGATAGATATTGACTTACTTTTTCATCTAATTTCAACTTAGATGAGTTATTACCAGCCAAAACTTTAGTCATGGGTAATAAATCAGAAGCATATCGGCACATGGGTCCGGTCATCAAAAACGTTTGCAACGATGGAGCAGGAGTCGGGTAATGACCCGTATTGGACACGATGCCTATAAATAATTAGACAATTCTGTTAAATAATGCTTCATTAAAAAATATATGTATAAAAATATATATATGCTGAGATTAAACATGGTTTTTAAAATGCAATTTTATAAAATGAAAATAAAAGGACACGAAAGAAATATTCGGTATTAGATTGTATCTCCCCTTAACAAAAAAATAACATGCGTTTTTTTTTAAGAATAGATTAGAGAAAATTTAATGAAAGAAAGCCAGTTTTGTAATGAAGTTATATTATCTCAACACTTGACGAAATGTTACCACCATTATGTTTTTGCTATAAATCTCCCATCACGAGTTGTATGTACAAAGTGAGAGTAAAGTAAATCGGTAGAGTATATTCCTGCTATTTAGGGGAAGAATATAAAGAATGTCGAAACGAAAGAGGAACAATCGCACCCCCACTGCCTAAACAGGCAACCGACAGAAGAAAAAAAAGCGAAAGAGAAAAGGGAGAAAGAAAACTTAATCCAGCGTATTGTAAAGAGTAAATAAAAAAAAAATGTTACTTATTTAAAAAGCTTTCAATCGTAGTAAAAGAAAAAAAAAATCGGAATGGTAGGCCAGTGCAAGAGAAATTAGCTTAAAATCTCCCTCGCTATGAAAAGTGAACTCTTCCGCTAAGAATTCCGCAAATTTTTTGTAGTTCTAATGTAGTTCTTTTGTAGTAATAAAGGATATTTATTTTAAAAGCATTGTTTTTGAGTTAACTTAGTATATGCTCACAGAGAAAAACTCGAAAATAATACTCTGATGAACTACGATATACTTTGAACTGTTGATATAGTCCTTTTTTATATAATATTGTAACTTTGATGAGTATAAATTATCAAACATCCTAAGCAGAGGCAGCAAACCTTACTTTGTAATTCCTTTTTTACAATTGATTTCTCCAATCGTCGGCCCCAGTTAAATACTCTTTTTAAGGTGCATTGTATGCACTGAATTCCATATTGAACGCTAGTAATAATAATGTACTGACTACTCGAAAACCTATGCTCATGAGAGCTCGCAAAATTCATGTTCATACAATATGATACTGTGAATATATTCTTTAACTTTGATCAATGAAGTTCGATAACAGAAGAGAAAGAAGGGGTAAAATTATTTAAACCAATTCATTTATTTGAGAGAGGTAGCTTAAATGAGTACTTATAGTATTTTTAAATTAAATAGCCTCTCAGGGCTACGTGATTTCTCCGCTCTCCACACTTTCCCCCCTCCGTTAGTATGGTTTCAGCAAAACATAACTTTTCCCAAGACAGTAAGTGTTAGTAAAAAGTTGGAATTTACTGACGTGGTGGAAAAGCAAGTTTTGCCGAATTTATGATGACGAATATCCTGATATATAGTAATGGTTTCTGAATAAAGTCCGAAACTACGTACCTCTTGTGGGCTTGTGACCGAAAACTCCGTTGAAAGCTGCGGGTATACGAATGCTTCCACCAATGTCATTACCGATACCGATGACTGAGCCAGCAGAACCTAATATACATCCCTCACCACCTAATATACAATACATAAAACAAAATATTTATAATATACAATACATAACCACATAATAACATACATAAACAAGTAATATTTTAGGAGAATCAGTTTTATTAATCACTTTAGCACTTTTTTTATTCTTTTATTATTTATAATAATTATGACCATCACATACTAGATATAACACTGATCATGTTTATTTTGTTTTATTCATACTAATTTATTTAAATTTTTGTACTATTCATAATATTTAAACCATTTATTGCGATCAATACAAATTTATAGAAAAATAATTTTAAAAAAAAAATTGTTGGCTGCAATATATGAGTAGAAAAAACCAAGCACTTGCCATCGTTTTTGCTTTTTTATTCAAATATTTTTTTCAAACTTTTTTTTAAATAAATTAAATTATGAGCTCAATTTCATAAAATATTTTTGAAATTAATAACAGAGAATTAGCGAATTAAATTAAGCATAGTATGATGAATTATTAAGATCTGAAGTATTAACTTCATTTAGAATGAAAAAGAGGTTTTTTAGACTGAAAACAAAACAGTGTTACTAAAGCATAAATGAGAGAAAAGGACATACTATAGTTTTGGTTCTATAAATAAGAACCTTATTCAGCATTTAAACACAAAATCATAGAGTAAAAGTAAAGAAACCATTACGTGCAAAGTAGTTTAACCAATGGAGACAGAAGTACAAGTTTGAACAAGATACTGAAATGAAAATTCTACTTTATTCACTTTCATAAGCAACTATATGATGTTGCTTATGAAACCTAAAAAACGAGGGAGGTTCGGCAGGAGGCCCAGGGTACAAAAGATTAAATTTGAGTAAATTTCCACACGTATGGAAATAGTGAGATACTAAAAAATCTAAATTCAGATTTCACTTTCGCTTCGTGTATCCTTCCTCACTGCTTGTAAAAATGTTTTATCAAAATGTATCATTAAATTTCTACATTGCTTAAAAAGATGCTTCTTCAATAATGCTAGTTTAGCTCATTCACAAATTAATTAATTTCAAAGAACTTATTTTCAGTCATTCATCTTACTCATCGCCTTTAAAGGTAAGATTTGCTACCTTTTTCCTATCAGGTACATTGTAAGATTAATTAGAATGCTCTTTTCTATACTTCCATTTGTGTTTTATTCACGTTGGTTTTGTGATATAGTCTACATAGCACGCATTTTACCCTATCTTTTTGAATAGGGACTTTTTTTAAAAAATCTTTTCCATTTTGTCTACGTTGAAATAAGTTTGAAAGTGTTGCAAATTTTATATACTTTCTCATGTTTGCATTGTATATTACATTGTAAGATTAATTATAATGCTCTTTTCTATACTTCCATTTGTGTTTTATTCACATTGTTCTTATGATATAGTCTACATAGCACACATTTTACCCTATCTTTTTGAATAGGAACTTTTTTAAAATTCATTTCCATTTTGTCTATGTTAAAATAAGTTTGAAAGTGGTGCAAATTTTACATACTTTCTCATTTTTGCATGTGCTAAGTTATGTTTTTATTTTTGACTCATTCTTTCTAATCGACTAGAATATAAAGAAGCAGCAGCGGTCGCCATAGCAACCCATGCAATGACGACGCATGCGCGCCGCTTACTATTACTCTTGAACACAGCTGGAAAGTGTGTGGACGCCATTCAATCCAAACCATGACCCATTCTACCAATGGGTAATAAAAAATAAAAATTGGAAGTGACCAAAATAAAATTGTGTTAACGGAAATGGTTTAAATCGAACTTACCGCTACTTCCTCCGGCAGTTCTTGTAGTATCGTAAGGATTAGAACAATATCCGTATAGAGTATTGTAGGATTCCCACCACAGGCAAAGTTCTGGTGTAATGGTGACTGCAATGGGTATAGCTCCAGCTTGTTTCATTTGATGGACTACATCTGCATCAAAAGTAGCTCTTACACCCTTCCTGGCAGGCAGTCCAACAGTATACAAGCAACCTATATTAAAGTTTTGTTTTAGAGCTGGACAATAAGACTGCGATTTTAGAAAGAAAAGAAAAATTTCTAAAGTGTCTTTCAAATTATCATTAAATTGCAAACTATGCAAGTAAAAAAAAAACTAAGCAAGTACTTACATATGTTATATATAAAATATATCAATCTATAGTTATTTTGCTTTTAATATACAGTGCGTTGAAAAAACGGACCATTCTCAATAACTTTAGATCTAATGATCGGATCTTCACGTTTTAGGACTCAATCTTAATGGTTCGAGGGAGTGATCTCAAACAGGCTAAGGACGATATTTGAAGTTACGAAATCAGCGGTCTTCTTCTTCTCCAGTTGAGAGTATCCCATTAAGAACATGCAAAATGGATCAAAACATAATACACTTTATTCACACTAACTAAATTCAACAGAGAAATTCTCTTGAAACCATGTTCGTGAAAACAGCCAACAGAAGGATTGTTTCTGTTTAAGTTGTGTCTCTTTATCGGTTCCCTCTCCTTGACTTTTTTTTTCTTTAAGTTTTAACTATGGATAGATACACTTTCTTAGGCCGTTACTTTTTATGTAACTTAAATAAGTACATTGCGCAAAAAAAGGGGTACCCGGAATAGCTTTCGATCTATTGATCAGATCTTCACTCAATCTAAATGGTTTGAAGGGGTGACCTCAAATGCGCTAATTAATAATTGCGGGTGATATTTTAAGTTGCGAAATCAGACACAAAAACGTACTTCCGTTGAATGAACATAACTTTTTTTCGATGGATTCGGATTTCTGAGTTATCAAAGCCTTATAGTTTTGTCAAGAGAGCGGTCCTAAGTTTTAACCACTTAATGCTAAATATACTTGTTGTGTATTTCACTAAATCTCGAGAAATTTTTTAACAAATTGTATAATTTTTACAATAAAATTAATTTATCCGAAGATAATTCCATACAAATTAAGCATTTATTATTTTATTTAATAACAATCGAAAAAATTCTGAATCGTAAAGTGCACCATTTTTTACATCATTTTAAAGTATCTAATTTTACATGGCAAAATACAAAATTTCACCGAAATCGGTAGAATACTTCCTGAGAAATCAGTTTTAACTATTCTTTTAAATTCCATTTGTCAGGAACTATTCGACCGATTTCGGTGAAATTTTGTATTTTTTGCCTCAATGAAATTCCTTTTTCCGAGGATAATGTCGTACAAAAAATTATTCTTATACGTCATCGAAATAAATGTGTGTTTATTCAGAAAAAGTGAGATTCTGAGTCTGATTTCGTACCTAAAATATTGCCTTTACTGAAGAATTAGCGTAAGGAAAGGCTTTCGTGAATATCCGATCATTTGATGAAAAGTTATTTCTTATACTGTACAGTAGATATAATTATAATGAACTTCCCGATCGTTACCTTCAAAATTATATATATTTTTAAAAAAAAAATAGTACATTTTCCTCACTTAACTGAAGTTATATAAACAAAGTATTTTTTTCTGTTTTAACGCTACACAAAGGAAAACGGCTTTTATTCTTACTCGACAAAATACATTCATTTAAATATCCTAAAAGAGTTGAAAATATATCAAACAGACGTCCACACTATATTTCTCATAAAAATATATATATCAAAGCGGCTGTTTAGACAATACTAAATCCGGTATATAAATATATATGTTTGCGAATACCTTGCCAGAAAATGTATTTTTTAAACAATACCTGAAATAATTTATTTCAAATAAATTATTAGAATGAATTCTTTTGATTTGAAAACATTGACAAAAATGATATGATTTCTAAATATTGTTTCATAAATTAAATGATAATGAATGTCCAACCACACAAAAGGGGTCTATAAAGAAGTGATACTATATATTTCTGCACACAATGTGGATATTTCCTTCGTTTACCTACCACTTCAGCTTTAAAAAGCCTTCTTATTTAAAATATAAACTTTTATATACTGTAATGTAACGAGTTTAGCATATCAAGAGAAGTCCACTACGAGAATTTAACAAGTCATAGTCGAAATGCTGAAATAAAAAATGCTAAAGTAAAGCTAATTTGAAAAATACAGGAATATTTTAGAAAGGTATATTTTCCAAATATTTAAGTTCACAATATTTTACACGACAAAAAGGGCAAAATGGAAGAAACATTTATATCTGGTGTAAGTAAAAAAAAGTTCTAAACGGAAAACATTTCACCTTATTTCCTTCCCACAATCTTAACTTTCAGAAAGAATGTGTTCAGAAGACAAAAGCAAAAATCAACGTGAATGAAGTATAGAAACGGACATACTATAGTTTCAGTTCCATAAACAAAAACCCTCCTCAGTATCTGACCAACAAATAAATCATCATTTGGTGTTTCAACACTGATTAAGCTTCTTGTCTATAGTACCGTAATTAAAACTGTGTCTATTTCTGTACTTTGCTATTGGGATTATTCACTTTTCTTATGAATAGCCATTTCTGCGATAAATACATAATTTATTCGTGGTTGTTGTTTTGCTTTGACACTTTAAGTTTATGAAGAAAACCTGCGTGAGTGACCATTGGCCAAATTATCTTACTTACGAAAGAAAACAATCTTCTTTTATTTTTAAATATCCCGATTATTCCCCTTCTGACCAGATGGTTATTCAAATGTATTCACAATTACTCCAATTACGTCGATTTAGTATTCACAATTACGCTTTTTTTTATCCCATCATTTATATAACATTAAATAGGGTGTTTTTGCTTGAACGCTGTAACGACCATCCCACCTGCTGTTTTGAACATTATGATGGACTTAAACTGTATTTTATGACTCACAGAATTTTCATGTTTTTAGAATTCAAATCTTGCTCATAAAAATAGGAGCTACCTAAATAAAACGAAATAAAAAATTTAAAAAATGTGCCACTAAAATAAATAAAAAAATTAAAAAAATGACGCTCGACAAAACTGGGTTACGAGTGTTACCTTTAGACAATAAAAAAATCTTATTTTCCTATTTAAAAGTCATTCATTTACTTAAGAAAGAAAACTCCAATCACAATACTCAATTAGAAAATCCAATGAATTTTTGTGAAACCTCTCCTTAAGGACCACACTCTGTCCCACAGTAAAATGGCCGATCATGGAGGTGGGTCGTTATTAGGGGTCACTTTCATTGACTTCAAAATGTTGTTCGACGGTACATGAATTTTCGAAAGCAATTTATATTTTAGTCATTTTCTTGCAGCGGAAATGACACTTCAATTGCCATCACGAAAACACGGATCGATGAGTAAAATTAGCGTCCATAAAAATGATCCCTACTGATGTAATAATGCGTGAAAACAAAAATTTACCAATTATAAACGATAAAACGATTTTAAATAAATAAACAAATATGTTTTTCGTTTAAGTTTACATTTAATTTTACGTCATAAATATGAGTTAACTTTAAAAAATGACAAGAAGTTTTTATATATATATATATCCATCGCAAACCTAGGTTTTGGGTTTGCGACTACTAATGTTCAACTCCGTAGCCTTGCAAGTTGTTTGAACCCATCCAGAAGACAAGGAAACTCCCGGAACAGTACACCTAGAGGTATGATTTGTTTTGAGAACATGGACGACTTTGTGACTCGACAGATTCAACGTGCGTCAATCACCATTTACTACACGGAGAATCTTCGGGGATCGAACCACGACTGCTTGGGCATGGGCCACGTGCCCTACCAACGAGGTTATCCCGGCTTTAGGACTGTTTGTTTGAGATATTTAGTTTTTTCTGAACTAACTTTTTTTCCCCTAATTTAACTTTCAATTCTAAATAGCATTGATAGTCTTTAGTGCACTCAGACTGCAACATGAGGTTGTATGGTCAAAAAAAAATTCTCAAAGTAAGAGTCTCCCACAAATATTTCGAATACATTTGAATCTACATTTTTTTTCGTTAATATTTTTTGTTTTGATATTTTTTGTGTTTCTTTATTTGACATTTTCCGAATTTGGTGCAGAGGTTTGCCCGGTAGCTGGGGAATTTTATGGAAAAATTCCATCCCTCCCAAAAGTGGTGGCAAACGGAGGAGGACGCGTCACAGAGGTGGTCTTTCCTAAAGATTTCACAGTATTATCAAAGCTGCTGCTGATAAATGCCTTTTTCGCCATTTTTTAATTTCATAGGAAGATTTTTAGAATTTTTTGCTATTTTTTTATCTAATGATAAAATAATAATTAATAATAATGAGTTTTTTAAATATTTTCTTTTCCTTTTATAGTTTATCAATTTTGATTGATATCTTTTACAAATTGAAAGCATTTTTGCTACTAAAATAATATATTTTCATTTCAAATTATTGCAAATTTTGCATCTAATAAACTTGAAGATTCATAAATTCTTATTCATCTTTATAAGATATTTATTTATATTACATTTTTTTTCATAAATTACATACTTATGTTAATTACTACTTTATTTTTCTTATCAAATTTAAAAAAGCAGATTTATAATTTTTTTTTAAAAAAAAGTACAAAAATAAAATATGGCGTCGAAAATTTAAAGGATTTGTTCTTTTATTTTAAAGCTATTTTCTTATAGTTTTTAGAAAAACATTTTTGCGTTAAAGTACTTATTTCATTAAAATTTTTTAGGTAATCAACAACATAGGTTTGATAAATGTACAGTACACGACAAAAATATCGTCCTTCCTAAATAATTTTTGATTTAGTGATAGTGTCTTTACGTTCTAGGACTGCATCTTAATGATTTGAGGGAGTAAGCTCAAATAAGATAATTAATTAGTACAGACGGTATTTTAATTTACAAAATCAGACACAAAAAGGTACTTTCTCTGAATAAACATGCTTTCTTTTGGTAGATTTCTGACCCCAAAAATATAGGGTCTAGTAATCTGGAAAATATGGCTTCGATAGTACAGGTCAAAATACTTGGACATGCGCTTAAAAAGTTCCCAAGTTCGCTATAAACCTCTCTCCAAACTTTGGACCGCTTTTCCGACAATATGTCCCAGATTGCGGCTACAGCCTATATTTTGAGGGTTAGAAATTCGAATCCGTCGAACAAAAAGACTTGTTTATTCAGAGAAAGAACGTTTTTGCGCATGCGCAAAATATCGCTAGTGTTAATAATTTTATTTTATAACCGTCGTTGAACAGCAGATCCTATTTTTGGGTTTTCGACTACTAACGTTCGACTCCGTAGCCTTGTCATTTCGAACCCAATCCAAAAGACAGGAAAAGTCCTGGATCCAGTATTGAGAGAAATTTGCCTTCGCGGAGGACTTTTTTGATGGAACTAACGCGCATTTGCGTTACATGGAGAAGAAGACCACGAGAACCTCCCACGGTTAGCCTGACGTTTAAGGGACTCTAAACCATGATCCGTCTACCACTGAGGATATTTCACGTCAGCACCGTAGTTGGTGCAAAGGGGATGTGAAATTCGTATCGATTAGCCATCACTGGGATTCGAACCCGACACACCTCATTGGAAGGCGAACGTTCTATCCTCTGAGCCACAAATTTAACCTACCACGACATATCAATAATTAAAAAATATGTAAATATGATCTATTCGCTAGCTTACTTAGCTGTTCAATGTTTAAATTTATTTAATCAATAAAAAATATTTCCAACTTAACTAGTTCATTTACTATCTCGTAGTAAAATCTTTTATATATATATATATATATATATGAAGGCTTAACCTCCTCTAAACATACAATAAAATTACGCCAAGGTTTGGAGTCACCTCCTCGAAATATTAAGATTCAGTCCTAGAAGATCCGATCATTGGATTAAAAGTTATTCAGTGTGGTCCGTTTTTGCCTAATGTATTTAAAAAAAAGTATAAACCTTTTAAGTAAGCATACCTTTCACTGCTATGCATTCTTTGATAGTGACTGGAACGCCCAAAAATGGCGTCTCCCTAGCAATTTCATCTTCCGTCTTGTTACTCTCTTTCAATGATTCATCGATGTATCTGGCCTCTTCTATCGCTTCACTAAATCGATCATCCACAATCGCGTTAACGATTGGATGGACCTGCCTGATACGTTCGATGTAAGCTTTCACTACATCAACACTTTTGATCTAAAGAGGAATATTTCATTTCTATACTCATTCATTCACTTTTTGAAACAATAAATTCTACAACGATATTATTGTTTCATTTGGAAAAAATTAAATAACGATTTTATATTTGGTTTATTTTCATGATAGTTATCACTAGAGCCCCTTACTCGTAGTGGTAATCCAAGTCGACAATGTTCTATAATATTTTTTTTATTATTTTAATGCTTATTAAATGCCGTGAAAGGAATTAAAAATGTACTATAATATTTTTTTTAAAAAACATCTGAGCAATTCGAGTCAATCTATGTATTCTAAAAATATTTCCTATTCAAAACGCGTTTTTTTTTCTGGTTTTATCCAATTGCTTTAGATTTTAAACTTTAACTTAAATTTTGTTATATCTCCAATGAAAGTGAAATTATTGAAAAATGTGCAAGGATGACGATGAAACAACCAGTTAATTGTTAAATTGAGATTTTATTGAATGTTAAATTTGTAGTAAAGTTCATTTCAGAGAGTTGTAGATAGGCTCGCATTGTGTTTTTTACTAAAAAGTTAAACATTTGGTCATTCTCGAAATAATTATCGAACTAAGTTTTTTTCCGCCCCACTCTTTGCACATCTCCCCATCGTAATTTCTAATTTTTAAGTCATATAGTTTTACGCTTCAAAACAAAATGTAACGAAAAAAAAAGAGACAAAATTTGTAAAGAAAAATATTTAAAATGGCCATAACTATTGAATAAATTAGAATTTCGAAAAAACAAAATACTACTGTTAAGTTCATGAATAAAAATATCCTTTTCATCTCGTCAAATTTCAACTGCACTTCTGCAGTCTGTTGAGCGGCATGCCTGGTATTTTTTACTCTAAGTTTAAGAGTTGATTAAACTCAGATATTCGAATACTTGAACTCATGATTGAAAGATATTTCACCCTAATTCTTGCACATTTTTCTACACACGTTCTTGATTTTCAGTTTCTATAGTTGATTCTTCAAAAAAACATTTTCAATAACTTTTTAGAAAGTTCATCTATATTAGTTATAATTAATTTTTTTTAAAAATATGTATAGTCATCTAATGGCGAAATTTTATTTTTTCATTGCAGAAAATGTGTCTTTTATTTCATTTTCATGCTTTACACTATTTATTTGGACAAAAAAAATGGCATCTTCGACTTAAATTTAGATTTTCTTCCCGAATGAAGTCAAAAAAAAAAACTCCAATTATCTGATGTGCTAATAATCACCGAAACAGAGCCCGCGATAAAGATTTCAAATTATTAGCCAGCACATTAGCCAACAATCAAAAGTATTCGCCCATTTTCGAAAATCTTTCGCCAAATACTTAACCATGTCTTACGATTTATTTTTTTCCCGTAGAAAACTATTTTACGGTAGTTTGTTTCAGGCTTTTATTATTTGGACACAATTCTAAATGGTTTTTCCAGCACATCTACCAAAAGTTGCTGTTCTCGAATAAAAAATTACTGATTTGCTTAGAAAAATTCATTTTGACGTCATTTTGAGGATAGAGTTTAATTTTTCTTTCCAGTGGAAAAAATCATTCGCCAATACTTTCGTTTAAACGCAATTTTATTCGCTAAATGTACGATTTTATCGCATTTGGTGAGATGGCGAATGCTTAGTGCGGCGCCAGCTGAAAGGTTTCCAAAACATTCCTGCGAGCTTTCTTCAAGGTAAAAACAAGATTTTATTATTTTTGTTTTATGTTAGGAAGCAGGGCGCGAAATTTCCCAGTTTTTAATTATAGCAATTTACATCCCTTTTCATTGTTTCTTTTTTAAAAAACCTCTTTTATCAATGAAATGAAATATATAAAAAAATCGCTCCCTAAAGATTATATATTAGTTATATTGTTCACAAAATATTTTCTATTATTATTTTTTCTTTAAAAAAAATTCAGTTCGTTTGAATATTTATGATTTCTTTTTTTTAAAAAAAATCAGAGATAATGAATGACTGTGTACTCAAATGGTGTACCATTTTCCAGGACAGATTGTGTTGTGATGAAACATGCATTCTAAAAATAGCTTTTTTTAAAGAAAATTTCTCAGGAATGATTCGACCGATTTTGCTCAAATCTGGAATTATGTTACGTAACCCATACTAGTTCTACAAAAATGATTGAAAAAATATTGTTGCAACTTCCAGAATATTCGTAATAAGTAAAAATAGATAATAAAAAATTTTGAAGAATTTTCCAAACTTTACTGATATCAATGATACTTTAACTAATATTGGTATCGGACATGAATTGAAATTAAAACAAAAATAAAAGAGTTTTTTTTCTGAAAAGCTTAGTTAATGGAAAAAAGGCTATTATTATTTCAAGAAAACCATAAAAATTCGTCTTATTATTGACACCAATTAGTTTTGGTAAAAGGTACTTTTGGTAATTGGTGCTTTTTTTTCGGTACAAAATATACTAATCTTTGCATTGAGATGCCTATTTTTTATAATCGTCTTTGAACAGCCGACCTAATTTTATGGGTATACGACAACTAATGTTCAACTCTGTAGCCTCGTAATTTTGAACCCAATCCAGAAGACAAGGGAACTCCTGAATCGAGTATTGGGGGACATTTGCCTTCGTGGAGGACTTTTTGTTGAAGCTAACCCGCATTTGCGTTACATGGAGAGGAAGACCACGAGAACCTCAAACGGTTAGCCTGACGGTAAGGGGACTCTAACGCATGATCCGTCTACTACTGAGTATATTTCACGTCAGCACAGTAGTTGGTGCAAGCCGGATGAGGAATTCGCATCGACTGTGGTTCGAATCCGGCTCGCCTCATTGGAAGGCTCCATTTCCTGAGCCATCGAGGCTCGAGATGCCTATTATAGGCTCTTATAAAAGATATAAGGATTGGATAAAATTATTAATTATGGTAATTTTCGAATTTCAAGAATTGATTTCCAGCAACAGCGTTATGCCAAATAATATTGCTTACAGTTAATCTTCATTTTGATGAGATGGACTTCTAAAAACATTCTCTGCACAATATAATGACGTCAATCCACCACGAAGGGCAGCAAATTATTGTAGCTTAATCATTTATGTCGGTTTTATACTTCTATAATTTTATGAATCGTTTGGTAGTGTTGATCAGCACCGATTTAATACTTATTTAGTTTATTTTAACACCAGACGAAGAATGGGTATTCAGCTAGTTTAAAATTATCATCTCTTTGATGTAGAGTCTTTTTCGAATTCCGCGAATTCTTTTATATTATTTGAAATTAGGGATTTGCGTCGACCCTAACCAACTGACGTGGAGATTTTATTAAATATATTTTTCATACTTTTTTCCGTATTTTGTATTAATTTAGGTCAAAATAAGTGAAAAATATTATATTTAACGTTTTAATAATTTATGGTCATGAAATACAGCATGATACACCGGCGTTTTTCTCTGCTATAAAATCTTCCAGACAAGGTTCACTTCTAAACAACATATTTTTTTTCTTCAAATGTGCAATTATTTGCAGTTAAATACATCTAAGAGAAACAGTTATTCATCTTTGATATTTTTTAAAACTTACAAATCAATTCTTGCCATATTTTTTGATATGAATGAAAAGAAATTCCAAACTAATTTTTTTGAATTTCACATTTCCGTACACATGTAATTCCTATAATCTAACAGATTTTTTTACGGTTTTAACTGGCTATTAGGCTGTTTGCTACTACTAAAAAATACCAAAATATATTTTTGCCTGTAATTAGAGGGTCAGAAAAATATTTATAAAAGGCAGAGGGTGCACCCTTTATTGATCTGCGTTTAAGGGATATGACACCTCCAATTGGGATTTGTTTGAAATTTTCCTTGGCGAAAAGAGTTTTGACGAACAACCTTGTCAACAACAAAAAATGTACATAACAAATAATAAATATTCTTACTTCTCTTCTGCGTATTTTTTCCGCTAAAACATGTGCCGGATCAAGTATAAGTGGATTTTTTATCGGCGGTAATTTCTTATGTTTCCCCTTGTAATACCAATCAAAAACGATATCAGAGACGTAGTCGACACTGAAGCGAACAAAGTTCAGGATTTTCAAAACAATTCTAACCACAAAATCAATCTCTGCAAATAAATAAATAGTCATTATAAAAATATTTTTAAAAATCTTTTTCCGTGTTATAGGCTTTTTCAAAAAAAAACAAAGATACACAAAATTAAAGAATTACTGGAAATTGATACTAATTAAAAAATTACTGGTTTAAGAAACATTATTGGAGTATATTTTTATTCCTTTTTGACCCCTCCCTTTCAATTAATAACAATTTATAACAATTAAATAACAATAATTGTAATCGAAACATGAAATTTTACATGAAGCTATTAGGCATTATAGAGAGGAAATTTTCAAATTAGTTATTTAAATTTTTCCTATAAATATCTAAGGTTTATAAAGATCATACTTTAAATAAAATTATATAAAATTTTGCAATAAGGGATTGAGCCGAGATGGCTAAGTGGTTAAATTAGTGAACTGTCTTTGTGAAGCCCTGACGATGGCTGGGTGCCTACTTAGAATTTATGTTTACAGTTTGTCAGCGAAGTAAAGGCGGTCTGTGAGCAATGTTGCACACATTGCTATCATTTGTCAAGAAATGGTGGAGCCTTAATCACCAAGATTTCTGGCTTTCAGCGGTATACTGCAGTAATACTTTTTAATATCAATTATTACAGTTTATAGAAGGAAAAAAAACTTTCAAATGAATTATTTAAAATTTTGCGAGAAATTATTACTGTTTGTAACAATAAAATTTTAAATTAGATTATTTGAAATTTTAACATTAAACAAAAACAAACACAAAATTTCAAATTGTATAATTTAAATTTTTCGATAAATTATACCGGTTTACATTGGATTATTTAAAACTATTTGTAAACACTTTGACTCGGTCAAAAAAGAAATAAGTAAGAAGGAAAAAAAAAGATGCTGGTACCAAATTAGGAATGTTCACTTTAATATCGTCCATTCTAAAAAAGGATTTGGTTTAAATTAATTTCAGGATTTGCCATTAACAAAACAAAGATTTTTGTTATTGTTCAAATTTTCATTTCTTTATTAATTTATGTCTGTGAAAACTAAATTATACTGAATTGAATAAATTACGAATAATTATTTTATTGAAACACTCATTCAAATACTCCAAAATTGATTAGTTTGTTAACTTATTTTTATTAATTCCAATTGCTGTTGTTCTTTTATTGTAATTGCTTCTAGTAAAATACAAAATATCGATTAGGCGTGAACTTTAAGAAAGAGTGATCAGTACATATCTGATACTATCAAATTAAGTTTATTGAATATTAAATCAAATTAACTGCTTGTTTTTATTTTATCAAAGAAATTAATTATTTAAAAAATTTCATCCTTCTTTTAGTCTGATTATTTTATTATTTTTTTTATTAACTAAAAACTGAAAATTACGTATTTTTTAAAAGGCAACCATTTTCAAGACAATTATGTCTTGAAAAGAGAATCACGTCATATTCGTCAATTATGACGTGAATGAAATGAAACAAACGCGATTTTCAATATAAAACGCAATGGTGAAGACAAAAAAAAAATCTAAAAATGAAATTTCGAAACAAAACTAGAAAAACCACAGTAGCCGAGAGAGAACGAAGGATGAAAACCCTAACTAGATAAACCACAGTGGCAGAGAGGAGTAAATCAGGGTGACGCTCTGGGGAGAGGTGGTGCTGAACTATCGTCATTAACAAGGAAATCGGCATTCATATGAATAAAGAAAGATTCCAGGGCATCAAGATGAAGTGACGTGACAGAGCGGGATTTAATTTCGGCATTGTCGAAATTGAATTTCACCCCACTGAACAGATTGAAGTTTTTAATCAAGCCAATCTTGCCGTTTAAGTTTCTAGGGATTATTTATTCAATAAATTCTATAATTTTAATTTCTTTTACAAAGTTTTATAAGGCTTAATTGAGCAAACAAGCCTGCAAATATATATCGTACCAATAAACTAAACGATCACCATACCTGCCGTGTTCCGGCCTAATTCTACAGCCAAATACAAACATTTCCCCCTTTTATTGCGTCTTAGATTTTGGTGCTGATTTTTTTTTCATACCGAACGTTTCTTTTTTCTTAAAAAAATATTTATTCTGATGCCAAATTACTTTTATTCAAATAAATAGGAGGGAAAATATCGTACAAATAAAAGTTTATCATTCTTAAATACCAAACGCATTGAACACAAATAAAAACTGGATAAAAACGATACTATTTCTCAGTCTTAAATACTTATTTTTCTGGTAAATATTTGAAAGAAATACAAATTATCTTCATTATAACTATTATGATTATACAGTCCATGGTCAAATAATTAGACTCACTATAAGATTCTATGTAAAATCTTAATTATCAGGTGATATTCTACAACTTTAGCGCTTTTACGCGGTTTACACTTGTTTACGTTCGTGTATTAATTGATTAGCATTGTAATGCAATACGCTAAAAATAAATACAAATGGGAAGTATATAAAAAAGTCTTCTCTATAAAAAATCATTTAATTTATGTTTAAATATAAGAGTATTGCCTACTTGTGCAAAATATGCAATTGTTAAAACACTCCAGTGCGTTTAATAATTTGGTCTAATTATTATAATAGACTAATATAATACCTGATATAATAAATATTCTGTATTTATATAATATATCGTCCAATTTATTCAATCGTCTCATTTATATTATATATCGTCTCCTTTAACCCGTTGATACACGAACGTAAGCAAGTGCAAACCGGTTTCAGTCACGTAAAATCAATAAAGCTGTATAGTATGAACCTGATAATTAAGATTTTACATAGAACTTTATAGTGAGTATCATAATTTGGAAAGGCGCTGTAACTACAATCAAAATAATATACAATCATTNCCCATTGATACACGAACGTAAAGAAGTGCAAACCGGTTTCAGTCACGTAAAATCAATAAAGCTGTATAGTATGAACCTGATAATTAAGATTTTACATAGAACTTTATAGTGAGTATCATAATTTGGAAAGGCGCTGTAACTACAATCAAAATAATATACAATCGCTGGTAAATGTTAGAAGAAAAAACGTCTTACCCCCATAACCAGTACTATAGGGCATTCTTAGAGAATTATCCATTTTGTGTTCCGAAACAGTAAACACTAAAACAAAACTCTTTCTCACTCTCTAACAGTCCAAAACAAATGTGAGAAGAAGATAAAAAACAATTTTTTGTTTTCACCACAATCTGTGACCCGGAAAACTGATAAGAAAAGTGTAATGGCAGATTCCTTTCCTTCTTATCGACCTATTGTATCGGAAAAATCAAAATGTCTAATAATTATCAGTCAGTCTAACTTTTCTTTTTTAAGTTGGAAATTTTGAAATTTAAAGATAATTATCAGACAGGTTTCATTCCTGGATACATTTCCTTTGTTTAAATTCGTTTATTCAACACTTTTTTTCAAAAATGATTATAAAAGGTATAAACTAATTTTTAGCTGCCTTAAGCATTTTTTTTCTCTAAAATCTAAAACAATTACGCCTAAAAATTTTATATTTAAGGTTCTGTCATTCATAAATTTAGCACTTAAAATATGCTCAGAGAAATACCCTGATATATGTTAATTGCTTTGATATAATATCATAAATTATGTCACACGAAGCTAATGTCATGAAAAATTCTATCCTTTAGGTTGCGTCAGAAATGCCTTGTTGCAAATATACTAAAAGAAAACAAGACTGTAAAAACTGAGTTAAGTGAGCGTCACAATTCGTGTCTAAATGTATGATTTTAACAGTTCCTAAAAAAATCGATGAATTAAATTGCATCGTAAGTGAATTCCGCTTTTAAAATAGGCTAATAGAAATCTATTAAAATTTGTAAATTGTATTGATTTAATATCATAAATTATTTCTTACATAATTTTAATGGTATCTGAAAAATGTATTTATTAGATTGTATCATAAAAAATGTAGCACTTAAACATATGACATGAAACGCACTAAAATACATTCATTTAAATTAGTGCACCTCTATAAAGAGTTGTTAAACAATGATGATATAAGAAAATGAGAACAAAAAGGATCATTTAATGACAGAATAAAAAAATGAATGAAGGTTTTAGAACCCCAAGCGTGAAAGCAGGATGCGATAGGGTCGGCATGGAGGCACTTCCTTATGACATCCTTCGGCATCTTGTTCCACACTTGCGCCCCCCACCATTAAATCGACTTATCTCGGAGACTCTCCAACTTGCTGTCCTAAAAGGTCCTAGATATCCTCGGTGGGTTTCAAATCTGGGGATCATGCAAGCCAATCTGACGGAGGCAATCCTATAACAACACCCTTGCTGGGTGCGGCCGACCCTTGTATTACAGAAAAATGATGGGAATCAGGCCATGCGTTGCGACACATGTGACTGAAGGATGTCACGAACGTACCGCTGATCAATATCAAAAGTAATGGTGTGTTGTAAGTGATGACACCCCATACCATCACATCAGCCTTAAAAGTGATGCGGTTTAGTACAGCGCAGGCAGGATTGTCACCCACCCCCCGTTCTTGATGGTGCAGTGTCGCTCTAGATGTGTGTGTGTAGATGCGCCCGTGCTGAACGCCTCAATCTTGCCTATACTCTACAGCAGCACACCGCCTTTACAATTGGTTTTATGGAATGTAGTGCCATCACATACGATATACGATCACCCCTCCATGGCAGCATAATAGCCCATCAGTACGCTCGTGACTTCCTTCAGTCACATGTGTTGCACTCCCGGGAGCCATCTTTCACAATCAATGTTCGGCCACATCCTGTCACATGAATGTCTCTTCCACATTACCAACTTTTCCTGACCTGTTTGATCCCCAGATTTATCCTCCGCTAAACATACTCAGATACCCCGAGTTAAATCGATTTGGAGGTGATTTTAGAGGAACTGTGGGTTGAGATGCCGTAGGTCATGACTCAATGACTTGTAAAACTCTGCGCCTGATCATATCGCATCCCGAATTCCCGCTGTTGTAGTTCATTTACTTCACACTGGAACTGCACAATGGGCTATTGGCGACGGTCTGGGAAACATCTCTGAGGATGATCCGAAGACAAGCCATTTCAACTTTGATCCTCTGCAGAGGAGATGGCTGCCCTGCTTTGGTAGCCCGACGACCTGCACGCGAAGTCGAGCATTTCACTGTAGAACAGTTTAACGAGGACCCATACCACCCACCCTAGGTCCCTACGCTGACCTAGGTGGTCAAGGTGGTCACTCACCCGCATAATGACCACAGCTAATGATGCTTGACTTCGGTGATCTGCTGGAAATTGTGTCTTAACGATCAATCCACTGTGGAACTCCGAATTCGAATTAGAGGTTAGTAAAAAAAAACCTTTATTCATTTGTATTTTTTCCTGCAATGAGGGGTCATTCTGTTTTGATTATTAATCACTTAATTATATCCTAATTGTCATAACGTATGTAAAATTTCGTTTCATTCTGACATCCCCTTCCCGTGCGCTAATTTTAAGGCAATGAATCTAGGTAAATTAATTTGAATTAATATCATTATTTATATCTTCTGATACAATTGTAGTGACAACTGAAAAAATGTATCTATTAAGTTATGACATAAATTAATTCCGTATTGAAAATTATCTGAAAAGAATATATCGAATTTATAACGACGTTTGTACCTGGTAGTTTAATTTTAAGAAATTAATATCAGAATTTACACTTTAAAAACTCTCCTTTGAATATCGAAATTATACTACTTTATAAAATAGTATGAGAAAAAAAGTGTATTTTTTTTATTTAATTTTATAACCGTCGTTGAACAGCTGACTCAATTTTTAGGTTTACGACTACTAATGTTCAACTCCGCAGCCTTGTCATTTTGAACCCAATCCAGAGGACAAGAATACTCCTGGATTAAGTATTGGGAGAAATTTGCCTTCGTGGAGGACTTTTTGATGGAACTAACCCGCATTTGCGTTACATGTTAGCCTGACGGCAAGGGGAATCTCACCCATGATCCGTCTACCACTGAGGATATTTCATGTCAGCACTGTGGTCGGTGCAAGCCGAATGAAGAATCCGTATTGACAGGGAGGGATTCGAACCCGGTACGCCTCATTGGAAGTAATTCCTTGAACTTTTTCGCAAAGACAGATAGTAATCAGCCTAAAAAGTAAGAGGCAAATTGTAAATGATGGAGATATTTCCAATTAGTCTGGAGCATTTCGAAACTCCGGAGACAATTGCAGCCCACAAAATACAAAATTTACACATATCATCGAACGCACGATGCAATGATGATGGCCAGTTGTTAGGGTGACGATTATAATACGGGTCAACTATTATAGTGAAACACCTAAAAAATATTTTTAGACTTATTAATTTTAGTATAAGAATTATTATTCGGGTCGATTATAATAATGAATCATTCGCAAATATTTTTAAACTATCGACTTTATTTAACGGTAATTGACAGGATGGAATATTTACAGGTACTTTTGTAACTACTGGTACTGAATAATCCGAATCAATTATTTATGTTGAAGTATAAGTATTTTCGGATGCATTGGTTTGATGTTGGCAATTATTATTATTCGAAACTAATATTATTCGCAACTATTATAATTGGTTTCACACTGAGGACAATTATTGTGAAATATTAACTAGTTCTTTTGCGACTGTAAGGTTTGTTATAAAGACAATTATTATCCGGTTCAATTATTATGAAACAATTACAAGTATTTTCTGGAACTATTGGTTTTAATTGGATGGCAATTATTACACGGGTCAATTATTATGATGAATCATTTCATAAACACGCAAATATTTTTGAAACAAAAGTTCGAAATGACGAAAACTCCAAATTTCAGGATGTTTACAAAAATCTACATCCGCTTTCCTATCTTACAGGACTAATTTTAGAATATTTTTATCGATATCCTGCCAAATTTAGAAAATTGAAGGAATAATGATTCATTATAATATGGTATTAAATAGAAATGATTTGTATGAATTCAGTTTAAATTCAGACCATTACTTTGATAAAAAAAAAATAATAATAAATTGCACTTCGTCTTTTCGCCTTTCGCAATTTTAAGGACTCAGGAATTCTGGTTTATCTATAAATGGTCGATAATGGACGTTATCCAGAATACAATGCGATAACAAAAGTTCTTTATAAACAACATAAATGAGAAACATTTTTTTTATCTGATTCATCATTTTTAATAATATTTTTTTTATCATCAAGCATAATTTTCAATAATTAGTATAAGTCATGACAAGTAATACAAGTTCGTTGACGATTTATAGCAGTGGTCCCAAAACCGCGGGCCGTGGAGCAAATGGCACGGGGCCTCCCAAGGAACAGTAAATTGTTTCCATTTTGTATATTTTTGTGTATTTCTCTGGGGTTGAAATAAAACTTAATCTGAGATTAACTTAAAACTAAGATCCATCACCTGAAGCCACACCCATACCGCACATGTAACTGTATTTTGTTTTAAGGCATGTTTAAATACAATTAAATTAAAATTATTAAATCGAAACCTTTCAAAATACAGACGATCAGCGTCCTCTCCTTTCAGCGATTCGCGGTAAAATTGTCAAAAGTTGATTGGTCATCGGCGATGAAAAGGTTGGGTTGCACTGATTTAATATAATATTCATAATTTCTCAATCAGTTATTTATTTAAATAATAAAGCTAGTAATAGAGTTTGAAACTAAGTAATTAATTATGGGGTCACAGTACCCAAAAAATGACCAAAATATCAAATTTTTTGATTGCTTATAATAAAACGTCAAACTATTTCAAGTGCACTGAATCATCTCTCTATGTTTAAAAAAGTTATGAATGATTTTAGATTGCCCTAAAACGAAAACTTGTTCAACAGACAGACTTTAAAGTGCTTTTTTCTCATGGATGATAATTTTGAGTTTTAACTTTAATTAAATCGCTTAGAGAAATTTTTTCTTATTTAAGATAAATCTTTGAAGTAAACTTTTTTATCTTAAGTATAAATACACTTATTTAAACTGTGCATGGAATAAGCATTTTATGAGGTATTACAATTTGTACAGCAGGCTATATATACCTAACAGGAATTTTTTACCTTTTTTTCTACTTTTTTAGAAAATAATCTGCAAAAAATATTCTAATCGATAGATCAACAAATGAATGCACAAAATTGTTAAAATGAATATAGTAAGCACTAAGAAAAAATATTTTTTTGAAAATATGTTAAAATATGTTTTTCAAATTTTTTTTTAAATTTAAAAAGAAATTAAACAGTTAAATTATTTTTTGAAGATAAATTATTGATTATACGTTAAATGAGCATGTAAAGCATCCACAAAATGAATGATTATACCTTTATTTAAGTACCCCTTTAAGTATCTTTATTAAGATACCTTTAGTATTTTGAACCATAGTAATTTAGTAAAATAAATATCGAGTATGAGACTCAGCATTTTAATAAAATAAGTTTAGTGCTTGAAATTGAATGACTCATCGTTTCGAACTTTAACTGAACCATCATCGATCTCAACACTTATCTTACAAACAACAAAAACAGTTTGCAGATATGTGATGTAGATTTAAATTGCATTTATAAAGATTATATTTAAAATAGTCTAAGATATCATAACTTCGTTAAAGTTCTAAAGATATTCAAGTGGAACAAGAACTATTCTATGAAATGAAGGTTGATATATATGAATAGAAACCATTTAACTAAATCTAACTATTACCGAACTTGTTTTGTTACTTTTAAAGAAAGTAATTAGCAAACTCTAATTGGAATAAATCATGCAAATTGACTTTCGAGCTTAAGACTGAGGAACGAATTCAAGCAACAGCATTTAACTATAAAAGTGATTTAAATTGAAAAATTCCAATGCTTTTATCGGATTTTAATGAGTTTTGAGTTCATTAACTTCATTGAGCGACTGGTTTCATGATGTTTTTTTTTTTAAATAAGCAAAAGTTAAATTTTCAATAAGCGTCTAAATTAAGTCTGTTTCATAATATGTTTAAATTGTTAGACAAAATAATTTGGAAACAATCATTATCAGTGGCTCGACAGCCCACGGTGAGCCTTGGCCTTTTCAAGAAGTTTTTTCCGGGCTAACATTTTTCCTGCTGGAGATTTCCAGTTTTTAGTTTTTAAGACCAAAAGGTCTTTTTCTAGGCCATCTATCCATCTCAAATTCGGCCTGCCTCTTTTTCGTGTTCCAACTGGTCTGGCATTGAAAACTCTTTTTGTGATATGGTCTTCGTTCATTCTGATGTGGCCTGCCCATTTTATTCTATGTCGTTTAATAAAGTTAATTATGTCAGGTTCATCATACGAGTGATCTATAATCATCAATATGCTCAATTAGCATTTGCAGTCATTTATTTCTATACAGTCAAACCCCGCTATAGTGAAAATTCAAGGAACCGGAATTTCGGTTCACTATAACCGGTACTTTACTATATTCTTTCCGCAAAACATTTTTACTAATGATTCCAAACTCTCCCCTTTTATAACACATTATTTAAATAAACGAGCAATAAAATGAAATTAAAATAAATGACTGAAAAATAATACGTAGTAACATAAATGTGTTAACTTTTAATTTTTATTACTTTTCGTCTGGTGTACATAAAAATTAGTAATCTTTAGTCAATTCACAGCCGGAAGAAATTGTCATTCATCGTGATAAGTGGTTTCTTAACCACTTCCCTGATAACTCCGAGTTAACTCGGATATGTATATAGCTAATATTTACTATCCCGAGTAAACTCGGGCATAGCTGAATTCGGCAATACGTTTTGTTTTATCACGTTTTTATTCGCCCGGAAGCAATACAAAAGATAATAATAATCTGCTGTGATTGAAAGTTAGCCAGTTTTTTGTTTTGCTGTTTGTAGGGCAACAGACGTGTTTTGTACAATTGTATAGACGATGGTTGATGAATTTAAATATAAAAAATGGAATAAAAAAATGGCGTTCTTGAGCGAAAGTGAAAGTAATGCAGATGATTTTTCAGATAATGAAGAGGTGAACAGATACAAAGACTAATATTTAACTTTTTTCATTTGCCCGAATTCATTTGGTATAGTAAACTAATGGTTTAATTAAATATTTCTGACACATAAATAAAAATTAAAATTTCATCTCAGAACGTGTCTATTATGTTTTGTTTCAGTTCCATATATTTATTAATGAAATAAAAAATTATGTTGATTTTTTACGTTTTTTGCTCAAGAAAAATGGTAAGGGAAACTGTTAATAAGGGAAGTAAGTAAGGAAAAACAATGAAAAAAAAATAGATTTAACTGGAATAAGAGGCTTATTGGCCGTTTAAATAGTGACGGAATAATTTCATTTTGGTAACAATTGATGTTGCAGTAATTTTATTTAAATTAATTGAGCATTTCAAGAAAAAATAAATAAAATATTTTGACAACGTAATATGAGGGGGTTTTGTTAAAAGATTAGTACTCAATCACATATTATACAAAAGAAATTTACATTTTAAAAATCGAAGACAATGCATGTTTGCCATAATAAACAATTAAATAAAGCATAGATTCAACAAAATGGTAACAAAATGTAATTTTATTCATATGTATTTAGAATATTTACAAACAAAAAAAAATATTTGTTTATAACGAAAACATTCAGAATTTTAAGTCAAAATAATCAATTCGAAGTTTAAAATTTGAAGTTTATATTAAAATAAAAAAATTAGTTTTGGTTTGTTAGTTAGTTAGATAAATTGAATCAAACCATCAGAAGTGGAGTTTTGAATTTAATTTATTTTCGAAAATTGGACATCTAATTGGATGCGACGGGAGGTAGCAATTGCACTCAAGTAACTTGTGGTTGCAAATGTATAACATTTTTAACGTTGCCAGAATGAGGGAGCAATTTCTCCAACTGCTGAAGACCTGCGATTCCAAAATGGAAGACATGAGAGTTCTTGAAGATTCTGAAAAGCATAATTAAATATATTATTTGAAAAGAAAACACGATTTATGCATTTAAAATCTTAATAAACAAAAATAAATACAGCATTCAGTAATATACAGTCAGTGACCAAATTATTAGACGCATTATAAGTAATATCCTGATTATCAGGTGACACTCTATACAGCTTTATTGTTTTTACAGGACTGAAACCGGTTTGCACTTGCTTACGTTCGTATATCAACGGGTTAAAGGAGACGATAGATAATATAAATTCCACGATTGAATAAATTAGACGATATATTATATAAATTCAGAATATTTATTATATTAGGTATTATATTAGTATATTATAATAATTAGATCAAAATATTAGACGCACTGAAGTGTTTTTTATAATAACATGATTTTCACGAGTTAATAGGCAATACTTTTATATTTAAATATACATGTAATGGGCTTTCATTCAGAAGATTTTTTATATACTTCCTATGTGTATTTATTTTTAATGTATTGCATTACAATGTTAACTTGTTTCAGCCACGTAATAACAATAAACACCTGACAATTAAGATTTCACATAGAATATTATAGTACGTATAATAATTTGGCCAGAGACTGTAAAAATCAATAATAATAATTTCTGAAAAATCACACCCATTTACGATGAAATCGGTGTAAAATCAAGTCCGTCAAAGTATGATCACTTAAAAGCGTGATTCGAAATTTCCGTGACTTATGACAAAAGTCATAAGTCACGGAAGTAGTAAGTCATAAGTTAATAAGTATTAAATAAAATGGAAAAACGCGTTCCATTCATATTCATAGCAGCAAAATCATGATAAATGGGGAAACATTTGTTTTTATCCAGTCGCGTTATTTTTTGCGAGGTTCGGGATTTCAGAATTTTCCTTCTAATTTTTGGGACCCCACTAAATCGAATGTTTTGACAAAGTTGCGTACCAATTTAGAAGTTTGCCTGAACAAAACCCCCATCTATATAGAATGAGGGATGTAACGAACATTCTTCGACAATTATTCGGTGCCCTTTTGTCGAATATTCGGTTGGCCAACTGTTCGTTTTTTAGGGGGGGGGGGATTTGAATCGATTTAACAAAAAATAATCTAAAATCGTATTTTTGTATTATTTGACCTTGTTTTTACACATATTTGTTACGTTCTAAGGCTTGCCAATTACGTAATGAAAAAAAAATGGCGAAGCGAAATTTAAAGAATTGAAACTTAGATTACTTAATACTGAATTAGTTTGTAATGCTGATTTTTTTTAAAATTATAATTCAGGCAAGTCGATTTCGTCATTTTTTCAACACTTCATGCTTTAAAAATTGAAAAGTATTTTTTTTTTTTATTTGTTTCATTTTTGCTTGTTTTCTGTATTAACTATAATGTAACATTTTAGTGGAGCGTTTCTAATACACTTAATTCTCTTTTTCTTACTTTTTTTCTGTATGCAACAGGAACAGTAGAATACTGTTTTTCTCAACGTTAAAATTATTCTTCAGGATTAAGAATGAAAAAAAAATTCAGTTATTTAGCTTTTTTAATTAACTTTTCTTTTATGAGCGTTTTAATTAAGACAGCATTTTTTAAAGAGCGTATCTTATCATTTTAAAGTAAATTTTTTTCTAAAATTGCGCCTATGTGAAAAAGTTACATTGTGATTATCAGTGTTAAATCTTCCATTTAAAAGATAAGAATGATTTTTGTTTCAGTTTAGTTTTTATCTAACTTTTTCTTTTAAAATTTTTTTTTTTAGTTTTTTTTTTTGGAAGATTTTATTATAACGTGGCAATTTAGAGTTCTTTTTTATAATACTTAAAACTTACTTTGAAACATGAACTTTTTCTTGAAAATACAGTAATTGGAAAACTGAGATGTTTAGCTTTAAAACTTTCTTTCAAAAATTAAGAGCGATTCTTATTTTTCTGTTTTGCCTTTGTTTCTAATTCTTTTTTATGGGCGTTTTTAGTAGAGCGCTGCATTTTTAAAAGCGTTTCTGATAAACATTATCTTTTTTAACGTTTTATGAAGAAAAAAAAATTCCGGAAAATATTTTTTTTATTATTAAAGTTTTGTTTTAAGAATTCAGACGATATTTTTTTCTGTTTAAGTATGCGGCCGATATTTTGGCTGAATATTCAGTATTCGGCCAAATAACTATTCGAAACAGAACGTTATTACTCGTAGCCGCAATTCTCAGATAACATTAATTTGTAATTGATAAAAACATTATATACTTCAAATACATATAAATTTTTATTATTTTAATATTTTTCAAAAAAAATTATTTTGTTATAAAAGAAGAACAAATGTAAGTATTTGATTTTTACGAATGCAACAAAATTTTAAATTTGGGGAGAAAGAAAAGACTAGATAGGTGATAATATTTTAATTGGCTTCCAGACCTTTTTCAAATTCTTAGAAACTACGACTCTGAATGAATTTAGAAAGTCAGAAATGCAATTCTAGCAGAAAACGTCAACAATTTAAGATATGTGTTTTAGCAGGAATGCACTTCATCAGGGGACACACTGCCTGATAACACACAGGAGCCTTTCTGTTGTCAGTGGTGAAACCATAAACTGACAGTGCCCCGAGGCCCAAAAGCAAGTAAGAAAAAGCAATTAGAAAAATTGAAATGTAAATGCAAAGAAAAATAAATGACAAACAATCACAATTTAAAAGTACACAGAGTAAGTCTTTATAATGATTTAAAAGTACTCAGAGTAAGATTCAATAAAGAGACGCCCGCATATAAGAAAAATAAATAAAGTTACAGTTAGAATAGCCACATCAAAATAAAATACAAATTGCCAAATAATTAAGAAAATCCTAGAAAAAATCAAGTGCTGACCTCTTTTTGAAAATCTTGAAACAAAAAACATTCAATGAATAAAAATTTAAAAAAGTGCTGCCATCTATATGTATCATTAACATAAAATCCTAAATTTCCCCGCTTAGGCCAATTTATGCTGGCTCAATATCGGCCGAATTATTTGAACATCTTTAAAATATTTTGAATCAAAATATCATAAATTACAGTCATTAAAAGGTAAATTATTATTCTCTAATGCAATCTTGAAATTCCCGATAGCTGAAAAAAAATCTTTTTTATTATTGCAAATAAATTTAAATCTAATCATTTGACCCATCAAAATGTTCTTAAAAATCTTAAAGTAAAGGTTGGAATTAAAATGTGTTAAACTAATAACATTAAACTTAAAATCTCTTCTCTTATCGCAAAATTAGATGAAAATTTTTTGGTTATGAAGTTTGAAATAAGCGCAATTTTCAACCGGATGAGTCTTAATTAAATTTAGTTCTTCAGGATAAATATCTTTAAATCAAAATCATCACAATAAAAAATAATTAAATCATCCATAACTCGAAACCCAATCAATGAATTATGTTGTAAAAATTTTTGTTCATAAAAATGTAAGAAAATATTTTCAAATGCACTTAAATAACAATTCCCCTTTGAGATACGTTGAATTTGTGTGTTAAAATCATTAAAAAAATTTGAATGAATGTCATATGGAGCAAACCAAAAATCCAAAGTATACAAAAAAAATAAAGAAAAGAAAAAATTGGAAATGAGATAAGATCAGTGGCGTGCAGATGTGACTTTTAAATTAATCAAATCACTAAGGAATTCCGATTTCACTAATAAGTAAAACATAACCGTGGTGGCTCAGGGGAAAGAGAGCTCGCCTCCTACACGGTACAGGATCGAGTCAGTGGCGTAGGCGGAGGGTTCAGTGGCGGAGGGTTCGGGGGACAAAATCCCCTCCGAAATTAAACATTACCTGAATAATGAACTATTGTACGGTGAGCAAGAAGTAGATATAAATAAGTTTTCATTGTTCATTTTTTGTAATTTAAATGCTTAGTATATATATATATATATA